CTGTGCTTTACTTAAATATCCCTACCACCTATCCCTGAACCCCTGGAAACATTTGGCAGTTTTACTGTCTCTATAGTTTCACCTTTTCCAGAATTTCACATAGTTGGAATCCTAGGGTACATAGCTTTTTCACTGACTTCTTCAATTAGCGATATTGATTTAAGGTTTCTCCATTTTTCATGGTAGATAGCTCATTTCTTTTTATTGTTTAATAATACTCCATTGTATGCCATACCACAGTTTGTTTATTCATTTAAAGAACATCTTAGTTGTTTCCCATTTTTTGGCAATTATGAATAAAGCTGCTATAAACATTTGTGTGCAGGTTTTTGTGTGGACATTAGCTTTCAACTCATTGGGGCAAATACCTAATGAGTGAATTCAGTATTTAGATTAGAATCTAGATAGAGATCTTAATGCCTTTCGTAAAAATTAACTCAAGATAGATCGTAGACCTAAACGTAAAACACGAACTTGTGCAACTTACAGAAAATAACATAGGAGAAAATCTAGGTGACCTTGAGTTTGATGATGACTTTTTAGATACAGCACAAAAACACAATTCATGACAGAAAAATTTAAATTGAACTTCGTTAAAATTTAAACATACACTCTATGAAAGACTGTTACAAGAATGAAAAGATAAGCTAAAGAGAAAATTTTTGCAAAAGACATATCCGATAAAGGACTTATATCCAAAATATAAAAAGAACCCTTAAAACTCAACAATAAGAAAACAAAAATCCAATTACAAATTAGGAAAAAATCTGAACAGACACCTCACCAAAGAAGAAATACAGATAGTAAATAAGCATATGAAAAGATGCTCAATATTGTATGTCATTAGGGAATTGCAAATTAAAAGTGAGATATCACTACACACCCATTAGAATAGCTAAAATCCAAAATGCTGACAACATCAAATGTTGGCAAGAATGTGGAGCACCAGGAACTTTCATTCATTGCTGGTTGGGATGCAAATGCCACTTTGGAATACAGTCTGGCAGTTTCTCATATAGGTAAACATAAGCTTACCATGTGATCCAACAATTCAATCATAGTTATTTACCCAAGTGAATTTTGATATTTTAACCAGCCTTGCAAGATTCTGCCTCAGGAAACTCCTTCAGTTTGGTCTTCCTTGCATTTAATGTCCTCAAGACATCAGTTCAGCTGTGTGTCTTGGCATCCTTTTATCTGATTATGCTTGGATGTGGTTTCAGATGGTTTATTTTAGCCTTGACTTGGCAACTTTTTAGGATGTTACTTTTGGCACATGCCCATCAAATCTACATTTCATAAACAAAGACAATATTCACTATACCCAGCCAGGCCCTCTGGACTTGCCCTAAGGTGCCTGGTGCCCCTTATCTTTGTCCATCTGGGGAATGGTTCTCTTAATCAGTAATTATTAGAAACCTTTGCAATCTTGAGATTTAGTTCAAGTACTGCCTTCTGTAAAGCCTTTATTTTCAAGTCTAGGAAATATTTATTGCCTAAACTTCCTCAATTTTACTCATTTCCTAATTCACTGAAGTTACTTTTACGAAGGTAACAGATAAGCATTAATTTCCAACTGTAATGGCTAATTTTTAGTCTTAATCTTGTTTGACTCCTTTATAGCACATAAACTAGTAACTGTCCCCTTCTTGAAACTCTCCCTCTTTGGTTTCTTTAATTTTTTTAAATTTTGAAATGAAACATACATGCGGAAAAGTACAGAAAGCTTATGTATAAATTTTAAGTATTATTGAAGCAAAAACTTGTATGAAGAAACAGAACATTTCTAACACCCCAGAAGCTCCTCATGTGCCTCTCCTCAGTCACAGGTCCTATTCACCTTTATGCCAGAGGTAACAAGTATTCTGACTTTTGTACTGATCTTTCCTGTGTATGTATCTCTGAGCAATATATTTTAGTTCTTCTATTTTTAAAGCTTTATAAAAGAAATTCTATTATATATTTTTTTTTGCTCAATAGTATGTTTGTGAGATTCATCTATATTGTTATGCATATCTCTGCTTTGTTCATTCTTGTTATGTATATCCCACTGTGTGAATATCTCCTTATAAATTTTGTTAATGGATTTTTGGGGTTGTTTCCAGCACTTTGTCTTTATAAGCAGTGCAGCTGTAGAGATTCTTATACATGTCTCTTATATTTTTATACATCTTCATGCAATTCTCTAGGATTCAAGGAAATTGCTGGGTTATAAAGAGTGCTATTTTCAATTTCAATAAAGAATGCTATGCAGTTTCAAAGTAGTTTTGTATAAGACTACTGGTACTATATGAGAAACTGGTCTGCACCACACCAAGACATAGAATTGTCAACCATTTCAATTTTTGCCAAGATGGTGGGAGTATAGAGATATCTCATTATGGTTTGAACTTCTGTTTCCCTGAGAACTAGTGGAGTTGAGCACCTTTTCCTACATTTATTTGCAATTTGTATTTTCTTTTTTATTAAGTGCCATTTAAATTTTTGTCTATGTTCCCGTTGGGTTTTTATCTTTTTCTTAGGATTTGTAGGATTTCTTTTTATATCTTGTTTATTAGTCTTTTATCAGTTATTTGTGTTAGAAATATATTTTTATGCCTTGTGGCCCCCCAACTCTTATAATGAAGAGAAGTTCCTGACTTAAATGTAATAAAACTTATTAATCATTTCTTTTTTGATTAGTGTTCTTTAAGAAATTGTTTACTAACTTGGCATTAAGAAGACAATTTCCAGAGACAATAGAGATAAAAAGCAGGTGTCTAATCTCCCATATTTAATTGGAAGTCTGTGACTTCATTTTTTTTTTTTACTTTTAAGCATTTAATTTCTTTTTCTTTCTCTTAAATGTTAGTTTTACACAAGGGTCCATCTGAATTCTCTTTCTTGCTCTGCACATTCCCCCTGATTAATAACCTTCAACATATTAGAAAATAGCAATGTAGTGATGGTCCAAGTAATTTGACATTACTAACATTTAAGATGCCAAAATTTGTGAATTATTTTAAGTATACAACTTTGTAGTATATCTTGATATTTCATAAGGTAAATTCTCTCTCCTTGAACTTCAAGATGTTATTGGTTATTTTTCTTTTAGTTTTTCCTTATAGATTTTAGATTATTTGTTCTAGTTATATTGAAATAATAATGTCGGAAATTTGTGATTGTGTTGAATGCATAGGTTAATGTGTGTTTGTTCTGGGGTTCACATCTTCTCTTCCTTTATAATGATATGTTTGTTCAGGGAAGAGATACCCAGGACAATATATCACACTTGTGAGTCCCACTTTTTACATAAGTTGGGGAGGGCTGAAACCTGCTGACTTATAAAAATAAAATAATTTCTTGTTTATATTTGTATTCTTGATACCTAGCACAATACCACTCAATAAAATGTTTGTTATTTCAATAAACATTTGTTAGGCATCTGCTGTATGCCAGGTACTGTGTCAGGTGCTAAAGATACATATGAAGTACACAATGTCCTTCTCGGGGAAGATTTGTAAGAAGAATACTTTAAGGTAAATAATTACAATCAAGAGTTATTAAGTACTAGAGGAAGTACTTAAAGAAGAAAGTGGTCAACCGTATTTAGAGTCAGAGGATATGGAAAATTTTATAGGTGGCATAATCCTTAGAGACCTGAAAGGTGAGTAGGTATTCACCAGATAGTTAAGAAAGACAAAGACATTTCCTACAGTTGGAAGAATAAGAATAGCATTAAGTGAAAACAGAGACTTGAGAACATCTGGCTAAAGGGATTAAGGGGCTCACACTGGCTTATAGTATGTGAGGCAGAGTATATTTAGAAGCCTGGCCAGATATGTAGGCAGAGGTCAGATTATTTGGCTTTAAAGAGTATTCAAACTTTATCATATAGGAAACAGAGAACAATCAATGGGGAGTAATGTAGTCACACTTGCATTTTTAGGGGAAAAAAAAAGCCATCAGCATTCAGGATGGATAAAAGGTGGGACAAGAGTGTGGTTAAGAAAGAAAAAAAAATCCGGAAGGAGAACGTTCTTACAATAGTTCTGGTAGGAAATGATCAGAATCCAACTAAGACAGTAGCACTAGGGATACTGAAGAGGGAATGGATTCTAGAGATATAAAGGAGAACCCGGTGATAAACTAGATGGCCTTCTGGATAGATGGCACACTTACTAAGATATATGATAATGGTTGGTACTTGGGAGTCAGAGAAAATGATGAGTTCCATGGACGTGTTGAGTTTGACATGCCCATGGGAAGGATACGCAAGTAATATGTCTAATAGGTGGATGGATATATAGGCCTGCAGTCCAAGAGAGCAATCTGTCATTAAGTTTTAGGCCTCAGAGCCTGTAATAAATATGTATCAGCTGAAATCGTAAGGTCAAAGATAGAGCCTGGGGATCTTCGACCTTGAATGGGTAAATAGAAGAAGAACCAGCAAAGGAAACTAATACGAACAAAACAAAGGAGAAGAAAGAGTACCAAGAGAAAGTGGTCATAGAGAAGGGAGTGGTCAATTGTATCAAGAGCCACAGAGAGAAATAATAGAACGAAAAAAATTCCACAGGATTTGGCATTACTACGGACATTGGTGAAACCTGCTTTATGGGATAATGATTGTTTCACATACTTAACTGTGAAGGGAAGGGAACTGGTAGTATAACACTGTTGAGGGTAGGGAGAAAATAGAATAAATTTTCTTAATGAGAAGAGTATAATTCTAACTATGAGGAGTAGACACAGAGAGATTAAGACAATTAATAATTTAATGGTGATTATAAGATATATAACCAAATAATTAGCATTGTAAATGTTTGTGATAGATCTGTGGTATATTTCAATAGGTCTAAGTGCCGAAATAAATGCCAAGTTGCAAGCTTTACATACCATAAACACTCAAAAATGGTTTGCTGGATTGAGTTGAATTGAGTTCCATTGATACGTAAATCATCAGCTTCTGTGCTTTGGAATAATTCAGAGTTTAATTCATGCATTTGCTTCTGATGAAGGTCATCGGACACTATTTATTGGAGTTCATGTGCCCCTGGGAGGAAGAAAAAGCCATCGACGTCACAGGCATCGTGGTCATAAACACAGAAAGAGAGACAGAGAGAGAGATTCAGGATTAGAGGATGGGAGGGAGTCACCTTCCTTTGGTAAGAATCTTTCTTCTTGTTTTTTATTAAATTTACAATGGTAATAATATTATACTTGCTTAAATCCATAATTAGCAGTCATACCTCATACTCATAAAATTGTTTATACTTTATAAGAGACGCTGGTTGGTCCGATGGGGGAGAAGTGAGAGAGAAAAACCTTGTTTATTTTTCTTGAGTTGTGCTTTGTGAAGGTGAGAATTGGCTTAGATTTGTGATTGAGGAAATACACAAAAATTGTAAAACTTAGTTGTATAAACTACTGATAATATATACAAATAATAGTCATTTCTCTAAAACCCTGGTGTTGGGGAGAATGCCTTTATTAAGTTCCCACATACTGTTGCTGATGCTGGCCAAATTTCCCTCTTAGGATGTGGACATTCTACTATTTTGAATGTTCTTCCTCTGGAAGTAGATACAGAATATCAAAATATAGCGATACGGTAGTTGTTAACAATTTATGAGTGCTATGAAAGCCTGTGTCCATGACATAACCAAGAACCTGGCTTTCAATTTCTTGACACTCCCATCTCCTATGACCCTCTCCTTCATTGCACCTAGCTCCCTTCTCCTCGGTAATTACTCTGCCTCTGAGGTAAGTGCATTCGCTTTGCTTTCTGACCACGCATTTCTCCTGCTTGCCTGCTCTACTTCTTTCTGTCCATACTATCATCTTTTCTTTCATTGTTTTCTTAGCCTACTCTGATTTCATAGCCTATCATTTTAGTAATACTTCTGCTAATATTCTAAATATCATAGGGTTCCTGTTTTAATTTTATTCATACCTTTACTCCCACTTAACCATACTTATGTTGGGGTCCCTCTGTGTTCCTACTTTTCCTATGTGGCCCCAATGGGCACGCTGTGCTGTATGTAATCAATCTTTCAACAGGGCAGGTTGTAACTATTTAAATTCATGATGTAATTGACCTTCAACAGCACCTCTTGAGTTCTACTACATTTCTTTGATCTTTAAATTAACTCTTTTTCAAACTTTTTCATCATTCTCTACCATCCCTTTTTTCACCATCATTTAGCAGATGCTTTCTCCTTTGCAGGGAAAGTAGCTCATCAGAACGAACTCATTCAACTTCTCTCCTATTAAACATACCTATGTGCCTACATTTACAACTTTCTCTTGATGCAATAAGGGAGTTTTTCTTTTCAATTATGTTTATTTCCTGTTCTCTCCCATTTGGAAATGTACACAATTTATAATCTAGTTGGCTTCTTCCTCTCAACTGGATTTTTCTCACCATCTCTTAACCATGATTGAGTCTCTGTCATTTTAAACAGTCCCTGACCTCCCACAAACCCACAGTACCCCTTTAGTCATTCCCATATATTCAGATATGAAGTTAGTGGCATAGCAAGTTTGGGGTAACAATTTTACTTTTAATATTCTATATATATTGCTTTATTCAATATCTGTTTTCAGTAAGTGTTGCAGAGAAGTCTGTAGTCTCTTTTTTTTTTTTTTTCATTTTTAAGGTTATATCTTTTAAGCCTGAAAGCTTATAGACATTTTTCTGGGTCCCTTTAATTAAGAAAATTGCTAAGACAGGCCTACTGGTGGGTGTCTTAAAAGGCCTTTCCAATTTGCATACACTGGTATTTTTCTGCTTACAGCACATTTTCCTGTTTTATCTGATTCTGTTCCACTTACTTTGTTATCTTCTTTGTGAATATTAATTATCTATATGTTGGAATAGTGATATCTGTTCTTTGTCTTTTTCCTTTGTAGTTTGAAGTTAGTTTCTCATATTATCCATTTGATTCTCTGCAATATCAGTTCTGCATTTTACTATTTCTATTATTAGTTTTGATTTTGTGGTTGCATTTTTAATTTTCTTAAAGTTCTTTCTTATCTCATACTATTTTCTTTATATTTCTTCCTGTTCTTTCCTAATTAGTTTTTCTCATTCTGCTTGATAGAGTCTCTATTTTTATAGTCTATTGATGATTCCCAGCTATTTCTGGGCGTTTCCTTTCATTCCCAAAGTAGATAATTTTCAGAGGTATGATCTTCCTTTGGGCCATTGAGATTATTTTGATTCTTCACTGATTTGTAGTATTTTACAGTTTCCCAATTATTTTTCATAGAGAGGCACTACCATCAGTATGCTCCTTGTTTCAATCACAATAAGTACAGTTAGGGCATTAAGCTTACTCAAATACCATGTACTTCTGCCAGAGGTAGAATGACTATTGTCAGGACTGTGTAAAGAAAATACTCGTGTATCTTCCCCTGCGTGATACAAGGATGGTCGTCTCTGTGTCACTGGATAGAGAGTGGAGGTGTAAAAGTGTCCTCGATATTTTCAGGATTTTTTTTTTCATGAGGTGGAGTCTGGGAATGTAATAAAGAGACAATTAGGTAGATTTTTCTCATTCAATCCTTCATCTGCTTATAGTTCGTCCAGATTCCCTCTTAGATTCTGAGAATGGATTACATATGTTGGACTAAACCTTAATGGTTACTTTGAATTTTCATTATCTTCTAGTGTTTGAGAAAATATGTTCACATCACCTGACAAATACTTAGTAAACAAACATAAATAAACTTGTTCCCTCTGCTTCTGACGTCTTTTTTTTCCCCTCATAGCTGGATGCAGTGTGTCAGTTTTTCAGAACAGTGGTTCTCAACATTGACTATATCTAAGAGTTTTAAGAACATAGTGATGGCCAAGCCCCATACCAATCAGAATCTCTGGGGGCAGGGCCTAAATGTAGGTATTTTTTTAAAAGGACCACCGGGTAATTCTAATATGCAGCCAAGCTTGAGATCCATTGTTCTAGAAACTTTGCTATTTAAAGTGTGGTCCAGGGCACCTGGGTGACTCAGTCAGTTAAGTGTCTGACTCTTGGTTTCAGCTCAGGTCATGATCTCAGAGTCAGGAGATGGAGCCCCACATTGGGCACTGCGCTCAGCGTGGAATCTGCCTGAGATTCTCTCCCTCTCCCTCCTCCTTTGCCCCTCCCTCTCTCTCTCTCTCTCAAATAAATAAATTAACATTTAAAAAAAATATTTATGCTGGACTCCACCCTCAAAGACTTTAATTAATATTCGGTATTTACTTAAACACTGGTATTTTTTTTAAAGTATCCCAGGTGATTTAATATCCAGCTAGGATCAAGGGCTATTGATCCTGAGAAGCTTCTGCCTCTTTATTTAGTGAAACTTGGAAATAAGTCAGGTGGCCTAGATTCTCCCTCTGATGTGTCAGCCACTATTTTTGGATGCCACCTACTATCTTTCCTCCTCCAACCATCTGAGTACCTTTATTGAAATTTAGACCTAAGGTCTGTTTTATCAGGGACAAATATTTGGCACCCTGGTGGTCTCTAAGCGGTAGAATTTCCTAGATTTCACTTTTTTTCAGTAACTTCAGGACAATCGTCTGTCTTTATTCCTAATCCACGGTCAGTTCAGGTGCCTTGATAATCAAGTACCCAATCATATGTTGAGACTGAAACCATGTTATAAACACCATCCCACTTGATTTGGGCTTTGGTATTCTGCATAGTGAGGCTATATGAGATTACTATGCTGAGAACTTCAAAGAAAATTTCTGAGAATATTTATTAAGCATATTTATTTTACTTGAAAGGATTTCAAAGAAAATATTTCAAAGATGTTCTTAGAGGTGCCTGAGAATTCTTCAGAATTCAATTTCCAAAGAGGAATTAGATAAAGGAGGATGTGAGGAAGTATCACGTTCTCTATTGGGAACTTGGAGGTTTAAACTGTAAATTGGAGTATGGGTCTGTGAAGACATGCAATAATTTAGGTCTCATATTTCTGGAGCAAGCAACAATTTAACAAAAAAGATTTTTGGGGAAATGTTTGAATTTTAGTACTCACAAAAAGTTTTGTCACCCCAATATATGAGAAACATCAGCAGAATCCTAGTCTATTATATGACCCAATTGTGTATAAGGCAGTGTTGTTAGGAACCTGGTTGTGTTAGTGCATCCAGGTAAAAGTGAACAGGTCTTTACAGTAGACAGAAGAGATTATGCTTATATTGCAGACCTGCAATGAGAGATTCCAGTCTGCCAGATTCAGTGATTGGAATGTGATTACTAGAGAGTCCAAGGATAGAGCCGGCTTTACAGCTTTGTGCTAATGGTGGTGGTGATGCTTTGATTATACAAAAAAACTTTTGATGCCAGCAAATAAGTTCAACCTATTTTTGTTACAGTATTTAATAAGCATGAAAGTTCGTCTAAGAATGTGATGATTATTCTCCTTCCTATTGCAATCAATCCTGATATTAGAAAACTGCTAAAATTTTGCATCTTGTTATTTTTCATGTCATCTTTCACTTACCCTGTATAATTTGAAATTATATTTTCAACTGGGAATAAATGAGTTGTTTGAAAATGGTAAGTTTGAAGCATAAACTTGAAGTCAGTGAAAAAATGAAAGATGATGAGGGAAATTCAGAACACTTTAATGTTTATTTGTTTCTCAGTCTCCCAACAAAGAATATAACAAGAAAGATGATAAGAATAGATCAATTACAAGTAGTTAATCTATAATCAGTAGAAATAAGTCTAAAAACCATAGACTCTATTAAATGCTTGTGTAAAATATGGGACAGAAATGTACTGTGTAAATTAGCACAACCCTGGAATTAAACCTAGGATTTTTCTAGTTTTAGATAGTATATTGTACATATGCTTCAGGAAAAATGAAATAAATATAGAACACATGACTTCAAAAAGCTATTTTTTGATGGGCAGTGGCTTTCTGTTCCTATTTAATTCCAATTCCCGGTGGCTGAACTCTCAGGTGACGGCACGTCCGCTCTTCTTGTCACGGTGCTCACGTGCCCCCGACCCACGGCCGGGCTGCACCTGGCAGCCCAGGCTCCACGTGGGGCACGAAGCCTGCGCGTCTGGAAAATCCCTGGGGCGTCTGCCGTCCTTAGGGCCGCCCTGAGCAAAGCTGGTGACAGCGGGGAGCGTCTTGTGAAGTGTCAGACTTGTTA